CCTGAACATTAGGAATAACTTCCTAGCAGTGAGAGCTGTTTGCCCCGGAGTGTGGTGGAGGCTCCTTCTTTGGAAGCTTTTAAACAGAGGCTGGATGGCCATTTATTGAGGGGGCTTTGAATGCGATTTTCCTGCTTCTTGGCAGAATGGGGTTGGACTGGATGGCTCACAAGGTCTCTTCCAACTCTATGATTTTGTAATACATTACAGCAAGCTACTGGTTCATAGAGTCTTCAGTTATTCTCCCTGTCATATGATCTTATGATAAATAATGTCATTTCTAATTGATCAAAGGGTATTTTTGTTGTATTGTTGAAGGCTTTCAAGGCCGGAATTACTGGGTTGTTGTAGGTTTTTTCGGGCTAAATGGCCATGTTCTAGAGGCATTCTCTCCTGACGTTTCACCTGCATCTATGGCAAGCATCCTCAGAGGTAGTGAGGTGGCCTCACTACCTCTGAGGATGCTTGCCATAGATGCAGGGGAAACGTCAAGAGAGAATGCCTCTAGAACATGGCCATATATCTCGAAAAAACCTACTACAATCCAGTATTTTTATTTGTTTTTCCATTTTGCTTTTGGCATCTTGGTGGGTTTATTTGGCAGCTCATCCAATAATCAGAACTTTGGGTCCTTTAGCTATAATGGGAGCTTTAAAAAGCAGTTTTGACAGGGGTCTCTTTTTGCTGTTACTGGAAACATATGGGGTCTGTTAGAATTTAGGAAAGAAAAATGTAGCCTTTCTCTTCCATTTTTACTCAGAAGTAAGTCTCACTGGGGATTATATATACTTTTGTGCAACTTTAGGCATATTTATTGGCAGTAAGCTTCCTTTGAGGGATCCGGCATGGTGTTTTAGTTTGAATGACCAGGGTCCCAATCTCCACTTAGCCACAGAAGCCCACTGGCTGACCTTAGGCAAGTCACGCACAGCTGCAGAGGGATTCAGTAGCAAAATCTAAATCTTGGCAAGAAAACCCTAAGGGTGAGAGCAAGTGTGGTATAATCATTTGAAGTTGACTTCAGATCCATGGAAAGACCAGGATTCTTGTCCCTGCTCCGCTGTAAAAACCCACAATTAGCATCAGGAGAAGGTAATGGTGATGAACTTCCTGCATAAATCTTGCCACCCCCCCTCCCCCCCAACCTTACAATATGTCAGAGTTGACTTGAGGGCATCAAAGAACAAGCTCTGTTAAAAATAGTAAGGCATGCTTCTGAATAAGTAGTCATAGGTTGGATTCACAAAGCCTTATAAGAAATCAGTGTACTCATCCCTTCACATTTCCAGTTTTCACTTTTGCAGGTTTGACTATTCACAAGTTGGATTTAAAATGTTATCTCTGTAACTGGGTTGTTGTAGTGTTTTTCAGGCTATATGGCCATGGTCTAGAGGCATTCTCTCCTGACGTTTCGCCTGCATCTATGGCAAGCATCCTCAGAGGTAGTGAGGTCTGTTGGAACTAGGAAAAAGGGTTTATATATCTGTGGAATGATCAGGGTGGGACAAAGGACTCTTTTCTGCTGGAGCTAGGTGTGAATGTTTCAACTGACCGCCTTGATTAGCATATAATGGCCTGACAGTGCCTGGAGCAAATTTTTGTTGAGAGTTGATTAGATGTCCTTGTTTGTTTCCTCTCTGTTGTTGTACTGTTGTAATTTTAGAGTTTTTTAATACTGGTAGCCAGATTTTGTTCATTTTCATGGTTTCCTCCTTCTCTCTGTAAATTTCTAGGACTTCTAGTGTGACTGCAGAAAGTAGACCATGAATTCACACTGGAGGACTAGAAATTCCTGGAGGGAACACTTTGTGGATAATGAATTCCGCAAAAGTCAAGCCTAAAATTGTTGGGTACCAACTGCGTTCTCAATAAATCCAGCAACGTAGATGACGTCAATTACTTTTTTCAGTTAATAGGTCCATTGATAAGCGAGAAATGTCAACCAGGTGTCGCCTCCTCTGGCAAACAGAAACTCTATTCTTGTGGCATTTGTACAGGTTCTGACAACTGTGTTGGGCCTTTGTGTAAATCAGGTGCCATACCTGTTACGCCACATTTTTCAATCAGTTCTTTCAGCTTGGCACGTTTCTGCTTTTGGGAGAGAAAATGCGCAACACCTGTGAGTGTTCAGTCCTGAGATTTAATCATCCAACAGGTCTAGAAGATTGCCTTCAGTTCAGAAGACAAAAGCTGTTTTACCAAAAGACCACTTTTAATATTGGGTTTGAATCACATGGGTGTATCATGGATAACTAGTAGATGAACACTTCAGGGTCACCTCTTGTGTAACCTTCTGGGATTACTCAAGTGTTTGACAGCTGAAACACAACCTGTTCCTGGATTGATTAAAAAAACACGTTCTTTTTAGTTTGTACACACTAAAACTTGTTGTGTAAAAGGATTTGTTTGTTTTGAATCATGTTGCTAATAAGCTGCTCTGTTAAAAGGCATCTTTGTTTTCTTTTTGAGTGGATTCTCCTGCAACTTCTCCCATCAATATTTGCTGATGATCAATCTGAAAATGCTACCAAAATATAAGGCAGGGATTTCTCTTGTGGAGATGTATCATTGCATTGTTTTATTGTTTTATGTGGTTTACAAGGGCCCAAGTTGCCAGTGTTGGTAAATGGAGCAGATTGAGCTCTCTAGCTTCTATGGTTGCCCAAGAAAGGAAATTGACACCAAAGTTTACAAAACACACAGTCAAGGGAGAAATATAACAAGTTGAGAATCCATTTTAAAACATTCATACAATCTACCAGTTTTATGCTGGGGAAAGTGGAAGGAAAAAGGAAGAGGGGCCGACCAAGGGCAAGATGGATGGATGGCATCCTTGAAGTCACTGGACTGACCTTGAAGGAGCTGGGGGTGGTGACGGCCGACAGGGAGCTCTGGCGTGGGCTGGTCCATGAGGTCACGAAGAGTCGGAGACGACTGAACGAATGAACAACAACCAGTTTTAAAGCATAGGAACTTCAGATTTAGTATGTCAGTATTGCTTTCAGACACTGACTGGAGAAGTAAATTACTTATTCGTGTCACCTGAAGATTACTGTATATACTCGAGTGTAAACCTAGTTTTCAGCCTCCTTTTTTAGGCTGAAAAATCTCCCCTCGGCTTATACTCGAGTCAAGGTTATTTATTATTTTATTCTGTTATTAGTATTATTTTTATTTCATGTATTATTTTACTCTATTATTATTACATTTACAGTATTTTGCCCTATTGTTTTTATTACATTTAATACTATATGTATATCTATTGTTATTGCGTTTGTTATTTTACTCTATTATTACTGTTATTATTGCATTTCCATTATTTTACTCTATTATTATTGTTATTACATTTATTATTTTTCTCTCTTTATTACTGTTGGAAGGATACATGAGTACATTTACACATTACAATGATTTAATCAGAGTTGGACAGTCTTATCTCAAATGACGGTTTAATGTAAATATTCAAAAACATCAATTAATGTAATTTTATTGGTATTTATTTTTATTTTGAAATTTACCCGTAGCAGCTGCATTTCCCCCTCTCGGCTTATACTCGAGTCAGTATGTTTTCCCAGTCTTTTGTGGTAAAATTAGGTGCCTCGGCTTATATTTGGGTTGTCTTATACTCAAGTATATGACTTAGATGAAGGGCTAGAAGGCATGATCATCAAGTTTGCAGACGACACTAAATTGGGAGGGAGAGCCAATACTCCAGAGGATAGGAGCAGGATTCAAAACGATCTTGACAGATTAGAGAGATGGGCCAAACTAACAAAATGAAGTTCAACAGGGACAAATGCAAGATACTCCACTTTGGCAGCAAAAACGAAATGCAAACATACAGAATGGGGGACGATGCCTGGTTTGACAGCAGTACATGTGAAAAAGATCTTTGAGTCCTCGTGGACAACAAGTTACACATAAGCCAACAATGTGATGTGGCAGGAAAAAAAGCCAATGGGATTCTGGCCTGCATCAATAGGAGCCTAGTGTCTAGATCCAGAGAAGTCATGCTACCCCTCTGTTCTGCTTTGGTTAGACCACACCTGGAATATTGTGTCCAATTCTGGGCACCACAATTCAAGAGAGATATTGACAAGCTGGAATGTGTCCAGAGGAGGCAACTAAAATGATCAAAGGTCTGGAGAACAAGCCCTATGAGGAGCGGCTTAAGGAGCTGGGCATGTTTAGCCTGAAGAAGAGAAGGCTGAGAGGAGATATGATAGCCATGTATAAATATGTGAGAGGAAGCCACAGGGAGGAGGGAGCAAGCTTGTTTTCTGCTTCCTAGGACGCGGAACAATGGCTTCAAACTACAAGAAAGGAGATTCCATCTGAACATGAAGGAAGAACTTCCTGACTGTGAGAGCTGTTCAGCAGTGGAACTCTCTGCCCCGGAGTGTGGTGGAGGCTCCTTCTTTGGAGGCTTTTAAACAGAGGCTGGATGGCCATCTGTCAGGGGTGCTTTGAATGCAATATCCCTGCTTCTTGAGAGAATGGGGTTGGACTGGATGGCCCACGAGATCTCTTCCAACTCTTTGATTCTATGATTCTATATACGGTATATTTACTGATGACAAATAAGAATCTAGGGCTGTGATTTTTCTGTATGTCTCACACTCACTTCAGCTTCCTCTCCATTCTGAAATATATTCTTAGCTTCTTTAGTATGCAGTAGTTTTTGGCTTTGCATCTCCCACTAAATATATTGAATATTAATAATTTGAACTAAGATACTTATCAACTTTATATGAAAAATTCACCACACAGAATGTTTCTCAAGAATAATATTGTGCTCTGACGTAATTCAATCCATGTTACTGCCAATGCAGGTAGTAAGTATTTTCCTTCTTATTAAACACCTACAGTTCTCAAAAGATATGTGCAGAGATAAAAAAAATTTACAATTTTGAACCTGCCGACAGAGTCTTGATTACTAGATTCTCAAAGGTGAGAATAACTTGCTCATATTCATGATTCCACGTATTTATTTTCCCCAGATTTTCTGAAAAGAAGGAGAGATTGAAACACCTTAGGAACAAGCAGCATGAATTCCAGTCCCAGTAAGTGCTGATTCAGTAGGAGATCGTCTTTCTGACCCTGATACCCGACAAAGGTGCGATTCTGCTTGTCAGCTAATTCTCTCTTCCTTTCCCCCTCTCTTGTAGGTTATTAAAAGCTATGGAAGGGAAATGGATAACTGATCAGCTGGTGAGTCCTTTGGAAGTATTCCAGTTAACTCTTAAAGGGAGCTGCATCCTTCAGTGCTTTGAGGGAACAGTACTGTGTGTTGTAGTTCAGTCTTTGATTGTGCCTGCACCTCATCTCTCTGGGGATTCTGGGCCTGTTGGTCATTCTGATGACACTGGGGATTCTGGGTCTGCAAGCCAGCAAGAGATTTTAAGCTCTGAAAATGAGTGGTCTGTGTACGAAGGCCACATTCCTGCAAGACAATTTGCTAGGGAAGCAAGGTCAGGTGCAGATCTGAGCTCAGAGAATGAAAATAAAAGTCCAGGTGGACAGTCTAATGAGGAGTTAATAGGAGATTTACGTTCTGTCAACATAGGGCTTCCCAAAAGAGAGTACAAAGGTCAAGATGCCTAATCTTTATCAGGTTCCCAGGGAAGAAGACATGAATTTCTCTCTATATTAGCTAGCCCAACAGATGGTCCTGTTAGTCCAGGCAACATAGGTGTTGATTAAAGATCTATGGACAGGTCACAGGATTTCTGGCTCCATGTTCCCTTTTGGTCATGTCTCATGATTCAGAGTTTTGAGGACTGTTCCTCAATTTCATGTTTTGGATTTATTCTGCTTTTGTATTCCGAGTTTTTTTGATGCTACTCCTGTACTTTGATTTCTGTGAATCAAAGTACAGGAGTAGCATAAAAAAAACTCGGAATACAAAAGCAGAATAAATCTTTGATTTCTGTGGCGCAGTGGGTTAAACCCCTGTACCGGCAGGACTGAAGACCGACAGGTCACAGGTTCAAATCCAGGGACAGGCAGATGAGCTCCCTCTATCAAGCTCCAGCTCCTCATGCGGGAACATGAGAGAAGCCTCCCATAAGGATGATAAAACATCAAAACATCTGGGCGTCCCCTAGGCAACATCCTTGCAGATGGCCAATTCTCTCACACCAGAAGCGACTTGCAGTTTCTCAAGTCGCTCCTGACATGGCAAAAAAATATTCTGTGGATTATTCCTGATATTTGGACTTTGGTTTTTCTATACTATTTTGCTGAATTGCTTCTCATATATATATTTCCATAAATTTGAAGAATATATACCGTATATTCCGGCATATAAGACGACTGAGTGTATAAGACGACCCCCAACTTTTCCAGTTAAAATATAGAGTTTGGGATATATTCACCGTATAAGACTGCCCCTCGTCCAACGCACACCAAATAAAAATTTAAAAAGCATCAGATTTGATTTCAATATGGGTAATTTTCTATTACTGTCCCTCCTTCTCTGCCTCTCAGAGGTCGCACATGTGCACCTGCACCGCTTCACTGCAGTCTTCAGGAGCGAGATCTGACAGGCAGATGTGGAGATACGGTAATAGGAAACAAGGGCGGGCCAGACAGAGAAAAGATGTGTGTTTTTCTGGGCCCAGAGCCACTCTTTTTTCCATACCCCGAGCGCCCTGGACGCCTGCAGCTTGCTCCGCCCTTCACTTACACCTTACTGATGAGATGCCCCTTCACCTCACCATCGGGACTGCATTAAGTCCACGAATCCTGATGAATGGATTTTCTTCTACCGTACTTGTACAGCGTCACCCTTAATGCTTTCATACAGTTGCTGCATACGGCAGGGATGCGGCCATTGCCATTTTTGAGCTCCCCCCACCATAGGTGGCAACCACAGATTCTCCAATCCGATTGGAAGTTTTAGCACCCACTCTATAAGACGACTCCCGAATATAAGACGACCCCTGACTTTTGAGAAGATTTTCTTGGGTTAAAAAGTAGTCTTATACGCCAGAATATACAGTAGTTAGGAGCCCTTCCCCCCCAGCACAACTGCTGCTCTGGGCCAAAGTGAAGAGAGAGGCGGCCAGGAAGACAGTTCCATCTGGTTTCCTGCCTATGTCAGCAGTTGGGAGCCCCTCCCTCCAGCACCAACTACTGCTCTGGGCCAGAGTGCCGGGGGGGGGGGGGCGCAGAAAGACGGTTCCACCTTGTCTCCTGTACTATGCTAACATAATAATATAATATAATATATTGTATATACATATAACATTGTATATTATATGCCTGGCTCAAGAGCAGTACATTTGAAAAAGATCTTGGAGTCCTCGTGGACAGCAAGTTAAACATGAGCCAACAATGTCATGTGGTGGCAAAAAAAGTCAATGGGATTTTGGCCTGCATCAATAGGAGCATAGTGTCTAGATCCAGGGAAGTCATGCCCCCCATGCTCTATTCCGCCTTGGTTAGACCACACCTGGAATATTGTGTCCAATTCTGGGCACCACAATTGAAGAGAGAGATTGACAAGCTGGAATGTGTCCAGAGGAGGGCGACTAAAATGATCAAGGGTCTAGAGAACAAGCCCTATAAGGAGCGGCTTAAATAGCTGGGCATGTTTAGCCTTCAGAAGAGGAGGCTGAGAGGAAACATGATAGCCATGTATAAATATGTGAGAGGAAGCCACAGGGAGGAGGGAGCAGGCTTTTTTTCTGCTTCCCTGGAGACTAGGATGAGGAACAATGGCTTCAAACTACAGGAAAGGCGATTCCACCAGAACTGTTCAACAGTGGAACTCTCTGCCTTGGAGTGCGGTGGAGGCTCCCTCATTAGAGGCTTTTAAACAGAGGCTGGATGGCCATCAGTCAGGGGTGCTTTGAATGCAACATTCCTGCTTCTTGGCAACATGGGGTTGGACTGGATGACCCAAGAGGTGTCTTCCAACTCAAGGATTCTGTTAGAGGATTCACAGTAGAGGTGTCTATCACAGGGTGCTCAGTATGAAAGAGCCAAATTGCAGTGTAAAAGGAAGCTTAAAATCTTAAACAGGAGGAACATTTATTGGATCTCGGTAGTCTGGTCCTTTCTAAATGACTCTAAAAGGTAAACAGGTGATGAGGGATACATGTTTTTCTTTTCCAAATTGCAGGGAGAACAGGGCTCAAGGGCTCAGTCTGGACCAGTGTTTTGTGTCTTTTTTTTTACAACAGAAGGCAGTCTGGTTCAGTTAATTGTAACTGAACCAGACGATGTTTTCTGCTTCCCTGGAGACTAGGACGCGGAACAATGGCTTCAAACTACAAGAGAGGAGATTCCATCTGAACATTAGGAAGAACTTCCTGACTTTGAGAGCCGTTCAGCAGTGGAACTCTCTGCCCCGGAGTGTGGTGGAGGCTCCTTCTTTGGAAGCTTTTAAACAGAGGCTGGATGGCCATCTGTCAGGGGTGATTTGAATGCAATATTCCTGCTTCTTGGCAGGGGGTTGGACTGGATGGCCCATGAGGTCTCTTCCAACTCTTAGATTCTATGATTCTATGAAATGCTTTTGGGGGTTGGCGACTGGCAGAAGAAGGAAAAGACAAGAGATCTAATCCCTCTTTGTCTAATTCATCCCGTCACTGGTGGACACAACAACAGCAAAAAAATCAGAATCTGACGTTTTGTGTGTTCCTATATCAAAAATTGCCTAAAAATAAAGCAGAGAGTTTAGGACAGGCATGGGCCAACTTGGGCCCTCCAGGTGTTTTGGACTCCAACTCCCACAATTCCTAACAGCCGTAGGCTGTTAGGAATTGTGGGAGTTGGAGTCCAAAACACCTGGAGGGTCCAAGTTGGCCCATGCCTGCTTTAGAAGCTGATTTGGGGCTTATTGGATCAATGTCTATTATGACTTTGTTTCATAAGGAAGTTATTCATATATGAGCTCAAATGTTCCCTTAACGATCACACTACACCCACCCCAAGCTAAATCAGGGACATTGTGGTGACTTAATGCATGTCTTTTATGTGCCTTCGCAAACCTTTAGACCAGTGTTTCTCAGCCTTCCTAACACCACGACCCCTTAATACAGTTCCTCATGTTATATTGACCCCCAACCATAAAACGATTTTCATTGCTACTTCCTAACTGTAATTTTGCGACTGTTATGAATCGTAATGTAAATATCTGATATCCAGGATGTATTTTTATTCACTGGACCAAATTTGGTACAAATACCTGATACTCCCAAATCTGAATACTGGTGGGGTTGGGGGGAATTGATTTGTCATTTGGGAGGGTTTTTTTTTTTTTTTTTTTTTTTGTCGTGTCTGGAGCGACTTGAGAAACTGCAAGTCGCTTCTGGTGTGAAAGAATTGGCCGTCTGCAAGGACATTGCCCAGGGGACGCCTGGATGTTTTGATGTTTTACCATCCTTGTGACAGGCTTCTCTCATGTTCCCACATGGGGAGCTAGAGCTGACAGAGGGAGCTCACCTGCGCTCTCCACGGATTCAAACCTCCGACCTATTGATCTTCAGTTCTGCCGGCACAAGGGTTTAACCCATTGTGCCACTGGAGACTCCAGTGTAGACTCAGCTACAAGGGAAATGGCCCATTGCTTTAAACAGAGGCTGGATGGCCATCTGTCAGGGGTGATTTGAATGCAGTATTCCTGCTTCTTGGCAGGGGGTTGGACTGGATGGCCCATGAGGTCTCTTCCACCTCTAGGATTCTATGATTCTATGCTTTGCCACCTGCTTTGGAGCAGGAACGGTTCTCTGATGTTACAAATGCAAACTGAGAAAGTGGGCCGGGGCATTTTCTACTACTGTTTTGTTCCATGTCTTTCAGAGATGGAAAATAATGTCTTGCAAGATGAGAATTGAGCAGCTCAAGCAAACTATCTGCAAAGAAAATGAAGAGATGGCAAAAAGTAAGTAAAAGTTTCGGCCGATTTTAGCTGGGGTTCCCCTGTAACTACCCCAGCCTATTATTATTATTATTATTATTATTATTATTATTATTATTATTACCCCACTTTTCTCTCTGAAATGAGACCCAAAGCAGTTCACAAACATAAAAACAATACGATGTAACGCCTACAAAATATAAATATTAAGATAGAATGAAACATCCAGTTATCAAAAATGAGTTAAAATCACATTAAAACAAATAAATACAATCTTTTTAAAATAACTGAAACGTGATACAGCTTCTCCTGGCTCATTCTTAAAAACTTTTTTTGCTTTAAAAGCCTAGATCAGTACGTTTGGGAAGTGTGTTGTATCATCTTTATTATTATTTATTATTTATTTTGTATCAAAAGTATTGTATAAATTAGTATAAAACTGATAAAAATAGAAGGAGCACAAATGGCTAAATATCCTTTCACCAAAAATAAACAGAGACCGCATTGTCTGTAGCCTCAAACAATTCTTCCTCTGGGTTGTAGGTTTTTCGGGCTGTTTGGTATAATAAGCACGAGTAGTAAGATTTTTAATTAAATTAGAATCTAGTAGTAAGATTTTTAATTAATTTATATAGACGGGGAAATCTATAAAATGATCCCAACGCTGCTCAGCCAAAATTATAACACTCACACCATCAGCTACCCACTGATTATATAAGAATATCAGGGGAGTTTAGATCAGAGAAGTAGGTGAGACACTTAATATTTTACAAAGGTAGGAACTGGGAAACACTAGAGCCGAGAGACTTAAAAATTATTCTTCAAAAGATTGCTGCTGCCACCATTTCAATAATAATCAGGCTGAGGTAATATTGAGAGTTTGTTCAGTAACACACACTGTGCCACTATAGTTTCTTAGAGGCTGCTGTGAAGTTGACTTTAGTAATACTTTGACCACAAAGGTATTCACACTGAGCGTGGTATAAGTTGAATAAAAGAACTAGAAAGTTTATTGAACAGACTTGAAATAATTCAGGTACAAATGCTTAATGGTTTCAGTAAAATACTGGCATAAAAAGCTTGTGGTTGCGTTAGAGTCAAACTCTTAAAACCTCTGGGTTACAAGTCTTCAAAGTTCCACCACAGAAAATTACTTCAGGAAATGAATCTCTGAAAGTAACTGCCAAAAATACTCTGAACTACACTTCCTTAGGAACTGAACAGACCACTAACTGGGTACTGCTCCACAAAGCTGTATTCTAGCTATTTACTCAATGGCTACTCTGAATACTTCACAAAAGACTGACCCAAACTTCTTCTCTAAACCCAAACTCGCTCTCACTGACACCAAGCCCTAACTGCTCTCTTTAACGTCCAAACTCAAAGTGACCGATGTTAGACATTCCTACGCTTATGGGGGTCATCTTTGATAAAATGTCAATGAATCAGGAGCTGCTAGTTTCTAGTAGAAAAAGGTGAGATATATGTTTAGTACTCCAGTAGTGGATTTAAGGGAATATTTTGTTCAGTTACCAATTTTGTAACTTTGTAATTTTTTAATTTTGTAATTTTGAGTAGGCATCAGATTCATTAGAATCACAGAGGTAGAACAGATCACAAGGGCCAGTATAAATCTCTGCCATGCTTTAATACACAAGCTAAGCACTCCCAAAAGATGGCCATCCAGCCTCTGTTCCAGATTGGAGTCTCTGCACATGAGGTTAACCAGTCCTGCTTGGCATGCAGTATGAATTGAGAAAGAACTCCTATGGATGTTCCAAGGATGCCCTAGAGAAATGTTTTCTTGGCTAAAATAATAGTAATGCTTATAGTTGCATTTTGAAGGGGCCGTGGTGGCACAGCTGAGCTGCAGAACTTGCTGACCAAAAGGTCAGCAATTCAAATCCGTGGAGTGGGGTGAGCGCCCGCTGTTAACCCTTGCTTCTGCCAACCTAGCAGAAAACATGTAAATGTGAGTAGACCAATAGGTACCGCTCCAGTGGGAAGATAACAACGCTCCATACAGTCATGCTGACCACATGACTTTGGAGGCGTCTACGGACAACGCCAGCTCTTCAGCTTAGAAATGGAGATGAGCTTAGGCGATCCCTCGTTGGCTGAGCAGAATAGTCTTCCAGGATCAGAATTCTTGTGGGTCTGTAGGTGGCTGTGGAGCCCTATTCTTGATCTGCATCTTCTCCTGCAGTGAGGGCATTGGTTTCCAGGTGGAAGGCGGTCCCGGTCGGGGTTGGCTTGACGCACCTTCCTCTTGGCACGTTTCTCTCTTTCGCCCTCCATTCGTTCCTCTTCCAATTCTGCAGCACTGCTGGTCACAGCTGACCTCCAGCTGGAGCGCTCAAGGGCCAGGTCTTCCCAGTTCTCCGTGTCTATGCCAGAGTTTTTAAGGTTGGCTTTGAGCCCATCTTTAAATCTCTTTTCCTGTCCACCAACATTCTGTTTTCCGTTCGACTAGACCTAATGTCAAGGGAAATCTTGACCATTTTAAAGTTGCATTTATTTCACTATCACAAGGGTGGGGTCCTCCGCCCCCAATTCTAGCGAATGTGGAGTGCTGACTGTAAATAAACAAGCAAACAAAATAACATCCTAGATTCCGAGTGGCTCCTCAGAATTAAGGATGAGAACCAGAAGCTCTACCGCCGGGCGCAGCGCCATCAGGAGAAGAAGGAGAAGATCCAGCGACACAACCGCAAACTGGGGGAGCTGGTCGAGAAGAGGAACTACGACTTGAGAAGCCAGCATGAGCATCTCGCCAGCCTCCGGCGGTCCCACGTCCTGGAACTGACCTCCGTCATCTTCCCCATCGAGGAGGTGAAGATTGGCATGAGGTAAGGAGGAAGCATCACAAATAAATAGAGTCGGAAACCTACTTGGGGTGCTTGATTTCCCTCTCCTCAATTTGACATCTGACAAGCTTTCCCTCTCCTCAGTTTGACATGGCTACCATGTCCCTCAGCTTTCTCTTCAAGCTAAACAGCTTCCTAATTGGCTTTTCGTAGGACTTGCTTTCCAAACCTTAGACCATTTGGGACATATTTTAGCTTGTCTTTTTTTTTTTAAGATTTTTTTATTATGTTATACACACAGATCAGTAAGTCAAATTCCAAGTGTTACACATATAAAACCTGAATAATTCAACAAATATGAAAGACATGATGCTAATTTACACTGGTGTATATTACATTATCTCCACCTTCCCTCCCTCTCCCTCCCTCTTCAACCACAGTATATTTCTAGCTAATCTTGCAGATCCAGCCACTTGTAGAGTCTGCATTTTTTCTTTGATATGATCGTTGGCTCCTCCATTTTTCACCCAGTTGAAGTAGACCTTCCATCTATTTGTAATGATCTTTTCTTTGTCCATTCTTGGTGTTTGCTTAGACATAATTCCCGTAATGTCTAACAGCACTTGGTCATACATATAATCATTCCAATTAGTTAACGTCTATTTCGATTTGTCTTTCCATCCTCTAGCAATCACCGCATGGGCTGCTCTTATTGTTACCTTAAATAACTCCTGGCAATTAGTTATTATACTCGGATGATCCAACACTCCCCAAAGTAGCAAATCATTATTAATTTGAATTCTTATCTGGACTATCTCCTGAATTTTTCCTTGTATCATTTGCCAGAATTTTTTTATTTCAGAACACTCCCACCACATGTGTGAATAAGTACCTTTTTCTTTATTACAATGCCAACACTTCGAATTCTTTCCTTTTAACGCAGAGGTGGAGGACCGATTAAATTGGTCCGCCCTAGGAGGCTTATGGATCCGGACGGTTTCCTGATGGCTCTTGGGGATTTTCCCGCCACCGTGGTTGGTGATCCTGTTGATGCTCTGGTCGCTCTCTGGAATGGGGAGATGACTAGGGCAATAGACACGATCGCTCCAGAACGTCCCCTCTCAAGTAGCCGAGCTAAACCAGCCCCTTGGTTTACCGAGGAGCTGGCAGCGTTGAAGCGAAAGAAGAGGGAACTAGAGAGCGTGTGGCGTTCGGATCCGAGCGAGCCAAACCGAACACGGTTTGTGTCCTTTTTAAGGGCATATGCCGCGGCAATAAAAGCCGCAAAGAAGACTTTCTTTGCGGCTACTATTGCGTCTGCAAAGAACCGTCCGGCTGAACTGTTCCGAGTTGTCAGAGGCCTTTTAAAACCCACCATCCAGGATGGGTGCCCTGATGACTCGGCAGTTCGCTGTGAAGCCTTTGCTCAGTTCTTTGCAGACAAAGTCGCTTTGATCCGCTCTGGTCTAGACACCATATTAACGGCAGTCTCTGAGGATGTAACACGAGCACCTGCTTGTCCGGTTTTGATGGATTCATTTCAATTGGTTCAATCCGAGGATGTGGACAAGGTGCTTGGAGGAATGAGAGCTACCACATGCATCCTAGACCCCTGCCCATCCTGGCTTCTAAAGGAGGCCAGAGGGGGTTTGGCCGAGTGGGTGAAGGTGGTGGTGAATGCCTCCCTTCGGGAAGGCAAAATTCCAGCCAGCTTAAAGCAAGCTGTAATAAAACCGCTGTTGAAGAAGCCATCACTGGACCCCACTCAATTCGTCAACTATCGGCCTGTTTCCAATCTCCCCTTTTTGGGCAAAGTCATGGAACGTGTGGTGGCCTCACAACTCCAGGCATTCTTGGTAGACACGGATTATCTGTATCCGGCACAGTCTGGCTTTAGGCCGGGGCATGGTACCGAGACAGCTTTGGTCGCCTTAGTGGATGATCTGCGTCGGGAGCTCGACAGGGGGAGTGTGTCCCTGTTGGTGCTGCTCGACCTCTCAGCGGCCTTCGATACCGTCGATCACGGTATCCTTCTGGGACGCCTCGCGGGGATGGGTCTTGGAGGTACTGTTTTGCAGTGGCTCCGCTCATTCCTCGAGGGTCGGTCCCAGATGGTGTTACTGGGAGACTCCTGTTCAACCCCACAACCTTTGTCTTGTGGGGTTCCTCAGGGTTCAATACTGTCTCCCATGTTGTTTAACATCTACATGAAGCCGCTGGGCGAGATCATCCGGAGTCTCGGAGTGCGATGTCATCTGTACGCAGATGATGTCCAACTCTGTCACTCCTTTCCACCTGCTACTAAGGAGGCTGTCGAGGTCCTGAACCGGTGCTTGGCCGCTGTGACGGTCTGGATGGGGGCGAACAAATTGAAATTGAATCCAGACAAGACAGAGGTACTCCTGGTTAGTCGCAAGGCTGAACAGGGTATTGGATTACAGCCTGTGTTGGATGGGGTCGCACTCCCCCTGAAGACACAGGTTCGCAGTTTGGGTGTGATCCTGGACTCATCGCTGAGCCTGGAACCCCAGGTTTCGGCGGTGACCAGGGGAGCCTTCGCACAGTTAAAACTTGTGCGCCAACTGCGACCGTACCTTGGGAAGCCCGACTTAGCCACGGTAGTCCACGCTCTGGTTACATCCCGCCTTGATTACTGCAACGCTCTCTACGTGGGGTTGCCTTTGAAGACAGTCCGGAAGCTCCAGTTAGTCCAACGGGCGGCAGCCATGTTTTTAACAGGAGCTGATCGCAGGGAGCATACAACTCCCTTGCTGAACCAGCTCCACTGGCTGCCGATATGCTACCGGGCTCAATTCAAAGTGCTGGCGTTGGCCTTTAAAGCCCTAAACGGTTCTGGCCCAACTTATCTATCCGAACGTATCTCAGCCTATCAGCCCACCAGGACCCTAAGATCTTCCGGAGAGTCCCTTCTCTCTATCCCTCCAGCTTCAGAAGTGCGGCTGGCGGGAACGAGAGATAGGGCCTTCTCTGTGGTGGCCCCTCGGCTTTGGAACGCCCTCCCTATAGAGGTACGATCAGCCTCGTCGCTGATGGTGTTTAGGAAGAGACTCAAAACATGGTTATTCAAACAAGCATTCGGCTAATCTGTGGCAATTAAATCGAATCTTGGTGACTATGGACAGGAAATATGGACAACGAACTCTGGATTGTGATTTTAACTTGAGATATATGGGATTATTATTGGTGGCCCAATAATTTGTTATTGTATTTGTATATGTTTTTTAAACTGAGATTGTTTTTAAAATGCTGTAAACCGCAATTGAGTCGCCGTTCTAGGCTGAGAAATTAGCGGTATACAAGTATACCAAAATAAATAAATAAATAAACGTATAAGCCAATTATTCAGGAGTTCTATACCATCTTAATATCATCTTTTTTTTCTAATTCATTATATTTTTCTATTTTTATTTTATTCATGTTCCTAATTATTTCCTCTAATTCTTTTGCCTGTAATGATTTAACTCCATTCCATTTGTTACTTATTGCTCTAACCATAAACTCTTTATCTTCTACCATTAAATTATATATTTTTGCCACTGTTCCTTTAATTGTCTTTTCTCTTGCATTTCGCAATTTATCTACCTTTAGTTCTTCAGTGGGCTTTGCACCCTCTTTTTTTTACTTTTTCCCAAATCCCTCTTAATTTTAACCAATCTTCTTCCCCCCCCCCCCTTTTCCAAAAACTCTGGCCAATTAATTATCTCTCCATCTTGTTTCCACATATCTTTTACCCTCCTTATTTTAGCTTGTCAATATCCTTCTTGAATGGTAGTGCCCAGAACTGGACACACAGTATTATTCCAGGCGAGGACTTGATTGGGCTTGTGCTTGGATTTAGGAGGACCTTTGATGACAGTCCTTTGCCTTTCTTCCAGGGACCCTGCAGACGTCTCCTCTGAGAGCGATAATGCCATGACATCCAGCACTGTGAGCAAGTTGGCGGAAGCCCGGCGGACCACTTACCTGTCCGGGCGATGGGTGTGTGACGATCACAACGGAGACACCAGCATCAGCATCACAGGGCCTTGGATCACTCTCCCCAGCAACGGGGATTATTCAGCTTATTACAATTGGGTGGAAGAGAAGAAAACTACTCAAGGTCCGGGTGAGTAAAGGGGCTGGCTGGGCTCAGTGTGAATTGTGTTGTTGAAGGTTTTCATGGCTGAAATCACTGGGTTGCTGTGAATTTTTCGGGCTGTATGGCTATGTTCCAGAAGCATTCGTTCCTAATGTTTCACCTGCATCTGTGGCTGGCATCTTCAGAGGTCTGTTGGATGTGAAGCAAGTGGAGTGTATACATATCTGTGGAATGCCCAAGGTGGGAGAAAGAACTTTTGTCTGTTTAAAGCAAATGTGCATGTTGCAGTTAGCAAGCTTGAATAGTATTCAGTAGCCATGAAGCTGCAAAGTTGGTTGGTTGGTCGTGTTTACCAGCTGTTAGGATTTCTGGGAGTTGAAGGCCAAAACATCTGGGGACCCACAGGTTGAGAACCACTAGGTCATGAGGGCAGCTTATGCTTTTTATCTTTCTCTCTTCCATTCTAGAAATGGAGCATAACAACCCTGCCTACACCATCAGTGCTGCTTTGTGCTATGCAACTCAGCTGGTCAACATTTTGTCACACATACTTGATGTGAACCTTCCCAAGAAGCTGTACAACAGGTACGTCTTATTTATTTATTTATTTATTTATTTATTACTGTGCTTATATACCGCCGTTTCTCAGCCTAAATCGGCGACTCAACGCGGTTTACAACACAACGACAAGCAGCAATATTCCATTAAAAAGCATAAAAACACATACACAATACACAATATTATTGGGCCACCAATAATAATCCAATGCATCTCTTAATTGTAGTCGCAATCCAATTTCGTCGTCTGTGATTAACCAATCCTTGTTCATCAGTTTCGTTGCACCAGATTAATCGAATGCTTGTTTAAACATCCATGTCTTCAACCTTTTTCGAAATACCATCAGCGAAGGGGCTGATCTCACCTCTATGGGGAGGGCATTCCAAAGCCGAGGGGCCACCACAGAAAAGGCCCTGTCTCTCGTTCCGCCAGCCGCACCTGTGAAGCAGGCGGGATAGAGAGCAGGGCCTCCCCAGAAGATCTTAGGGTCCTGGTGGGCTGATAGGCCGAGATACGTTCTCAGGTGGACCCAGTTATTTGTGCCAAGGACCTCACCTAGAATAATCCTATGTACATTTCTGTGAAACACAAATCAAGAAGCATATTGACACGATGGATAGTGTCCAAAGAAGGGCCACCAAAAGGTCTGGAAACCATGAATCTCTTCGAAGAGCAGCTGAGGAAGCTGGAGATGTTTACCTTGGGTGAAGAGGACCTGATAGCTGTGTTTAAATATTGGAAACTGGCACATAGAGGAGTAGACAAGCTTTTTTTTTTGCTGCTCTGGAGACTAGAACATAATGGAGCCATGGATTCACACTACTCCTAACTTATACTTACTTACTTAGGCGATCCCTCGTTTGCCGAGTCAGGTAGTCTTCTAGGATCAGTGTTCTGGTAATGGGTCCATAAGTGAATGTGGAGCCCTATTCTTGATCTGCATCTTCTCCCACAGTGAGGACATTGGTTTCCAGGTAGTAGGTGGTCTCGGTCGGGGCTGGCTTGATGTGCCTTCCTCTTGACACATTTCTCTTTTTCACCCTCCATTCATGCCTCTTCAGATTCTGCAGCACTGATGGTCACAGCTGACCTCCAGCTGGAGTGCTCAAGGGTCAGGGCTTATCAGTTCTCAGTGTCTATTTCAGAGTTTTTAAGGTTGGCTTTGAGCCCATTTTTAAATCTCTTTTCCTGTCCACCAACATTCCGTTTTCAGTTCTTAAGTTCAGAGTAGAGCAACTGCTTTGGGAGACAGTGGTCAGGCATCCGGACAACGTGGCCGGTCCAGTGGAGTTGATGGCGGAGGACCATCGTTTCAATGCTGGTGGTCTTTGCTTCTTCCAGCACGCTGACGTTTGTCCACCTGTCTTCCCAAGAGATTTGCAGGATTTTCCGGAGGATGGAATCATTTGAGGAGTTGCATGTAACGTCTGTAGACAGTCCACGTTTCACAGGCATATAGCAGCGTTGGGAGGACAATGGCTTTATAAACAAGCACCTTAGTATCCCTACGGATATCCCGGTCCTCAAACACTCTCTGCTTCATTCGAAAAAATGCTGCACTCGCAGAGCTCAGGTAGTGTTGTATGTATCCTAACTTATAGCCAACAGTATGACTCCTATATAATTTAAACGATTGGTATAGGTTCACATTCTGCTTTTGGAGCTTCTGGTGAACATACAGTGAAAGGGATAGTTGGGACAGGGATGATTGTGATCTCTTCCTGGTGGAAGAAAGGAAACAAAGGAGCAAAGGCACCTTCTGTGGCAGCGAGTTCAATGATCTGGAACCAGCCACCAGGAATGCCTTTTATTTTGTCCTCTGTGATGCAAATGGGATTGAGAGACCTTCCCTCTACTCTCTCCTCCAAACTCACAGGTGACTAAAGGAACATTTCTGTAGTATTTACCTCTTTTGAGAAACGGAAGATCAAAATTTAGAGAGCCAAACACAAGGCCTTTCCACTTGTCTTTTGTGTGACTTCAAAGTATTTCTGGCTTATGACAATGCTAAGATGAATCCTTTACAGAGCTTCTTAGGCAAGGTTGGTTCAGAGAAAGTTAGCTTTACCTTCCTCTGAGACTGAGAGAGAACCAGTGGTTCTCTGTGGCTGAATGCGTATTTAAACCAGGCTTGAGCCAACTTGGGCCCTCCAGGTGTTTTGGACTTCAACTCCCACAATTCCTAACAGCCTACCGGCTGTTAGGAATTGTGGGAGTTGAAGTCCAAAACACCTGGAGGGCCCAAGTTGGCTCAAGCCTGGTATAGACAGTTGCAAGGAGTCTCCACATTAACGGTATAGGCTTATTTATTTATTCATTCATTTATTTACAGTTTTTATATTCTGCCCTTCTCACCTTGAAGGAGACTCAGGGCAGATCACAGAACAGATATTCGACAAACATTCAATGCCGTTTTACACTGACAAGACAGACAACAGTATATAGATAGAGGTATATATATAGGTTTCCCATCTTCGGCATCTTGGGGGCTGTGTTCACTTCCGGCCATGGGGGGTGCTGTTGCTCCACTTTTCCCTACTGAAGAGTTTAGTTTGTAAACTTCCTCCTTGATCAAATCGCTGGCATTTTTTTGGCATTTCCTTATGGGTGCCTCAAATACCTCCCCGCTGAAGAGGTACCTATTTATCTACTCATACTGCTTTTTTCGAAACTGCTAAATAGGCAGAAGCTGGGCTAAATTTATTATTACTTTATTTATTTACGACATAGAATCATAGAATCAAAGAGTTGGAAGAGACCTCATGGGCCATCCAGTCCAACCCCATTCTGCCAAGAAGCAGGAATATGGCATTCAAATAACCCCCAACAGATGGCCATCCAGCCTCTGTTTAAAAGCTTCCAAAGAAGGAGCTTCCACCACACTCCGGGGCAGAGAGTTCCACCGCTGAACGGCTCTCACAGTCAGGAAGTTCTTCCTCATGTTCAGATGGAATCTCCTCTCTTGTAGTTTGAAGCCATTGTTCCATTGCGTCCTAGTCTCCAGGGAAGCAGAAAACAAGCTTGCTCCCTCCTCCCTGTGGCTTCCTCTCACATATTTAGACATGTATATGCCGTCCTCCTCACCCCGAAGGGGACTCAGAACGGCTTACAAGATATATATACATCTATATAAATAAAAATGTAATGTTCATTTGTGGGATTAACAGAACTCAAAAATCACTGGGTGAATTGACACCAAATTTGGACACAAGACACCTAACAACCCAATGTATGTCCACTCAAAAAAAATGGCTTTTGTCATTTGGGAGTTGTAGTTACTGGGATTTATAGTTCACCTACAATCCAAGAGCATTCTGAACCCCACCAACGATGGAATTGAACCAAACTTGGCACACAGTTCTCCCATGACCAACAGAAAATACTGGAAGGGTTTGTGGGCAGTGTCCTTTGCTTTTGGAGTTGTAGTTCACCTACATCCAGAGATCACTGTGGAACCAAACAATGATGGATCTGGACCAAACTCTACACTAATACTCAATATGCCCAAATGTGAACACTGGTGGAGTTTGGGAAAAATAGAATCTTGGCATTTGGGAGTTGTACTTGCTGGGATTTATAGTTCACCTACAATCACAGAGCATTCTGAACCCGACCGATAGAATTGGACCAAACCTCCCACATAAAACCCCCATGTGGTCCACAGCAATGCGTGGCAGGGGACGGCTAGTATATGATGACAGGAGCTCACCCTGACCTGGGCTTCGAACTGTGTCAACCTTTCGATTGGCAAGATTTACTGCGGCGGGCAGTTAACCTGCTGTGCTAAAGCCTGGCTTTGGGCCCTGCTTTTCACTTTCGTCAACATACGTGTGGGACTTTCCCTCTTTTGCAGTGAGTTCTGTGGGGAGAATCTCAGCCGGAAGAAGTTCACCTGGGCAGTGAAGAAGCTGAACGCCAATATCCTTTACCTTTGCTTTTCTCAGGTAAGGGGCGATGGTTCCTTTTCTTGGGCAGACGCTCACTTGTCTTTGCAAGTCTTCCTTGATTGATATTTATATTCCCCCTCCCCCCTCGTTTTTCTAGCATGTAAACCTGGACTTCCTCCACCCTCTGCATACGCTCAGGAACCTGATGTACCTCGTCAGCCCTGAGACAGAACACTTGGGAAGGTAAGACGCAAGCTTTGCCCCCTGAGACCTCTCCCTTCTGAAAAACACATCTTGCACTGAAAACTGCCTGATGCTTGGTCTGATTAATAGTCCAAGGTGCTAGAGCAAGGTTTCTCAACCTTCCTAATGCCGCGACCCCTTAATTCAGTTCCTCATGTCATGGTGACCCCCAACCATAAAATTATTTTTGATTCAACTTCATAACTGTACTTTTGTTAATGTTATGAATCATAATGTAAATATCTGATATGCAAGATGTCTTTTCATTCATTGGACCAAATTTGGCACAAATACCCAATATGCCGAAATTTTAATACTGGTGCGGTTGGCTGGGGTAGATTTTGTCATTTGGGAGTTGTAGTTGCTGGGATTTATAGTTTGCCTACAATCAAAGAGCCTTCTGAACTCCACCAACAATGGAATTGAACCAAAATTGGCATACAGGACTCCCATGACCAACAGAAAATACTAGAAGGGCTTGGTGGGCATTGACCTTGAGTTTTGGGAGTTGTAGTTCACCTATATCCAGAGAGCACTGTGGACTCAAACAATGATAGATCTGGACCAAACTTGGCACAAATACTCAGTATGCCCAAATGTGAACACTGGTGGAGTTTGGTGAAAAGAGACTTGACATTAGGAGTTGTAGTTGCTGGGATTTATAGTTCACCTACAACCAGGTTGCATTGCAGCAGGTGGTCAGTGGTTTGCTCTTCTCCACACTCGCATGTCGCGGATTTCACTTTGTGGCCCCATTTCTTAAGGTTGGCTCTGCATCTCGTGGTGCCATAGCACAGTCTGTTCAGCGCCTTCCAAGTCACCCAGTTTTCTGTGTGCCCAGGGGGGAGTCTCTCATTTGGTATCAGCCATTGATTGAGGTTCTGGGTTTGAGCCTGCCACTTTTGGACTCTCGCTTGCTGAGGTGTTCCAGCGAGTGTCTCTGTAGATCTTAGAAAACTATTTCTTGATTTAAGTTGTTGACGTGCTGGCTGATACCCAAACAAGGGATGAGCTGGAGATGTCTCTGCCTTGGTCCTTTCACTATTGGCTGCTACTTCCTGGCAGATGTCAGGTGGTGCAATACCGGCTAAGCAGTGTAATTTCTCCAGTGGTGTAGGGCGCAGGCACCCCGTGATAATGCGGCATGTCTCATTAAGAGCCAAATCCACTGTTTTAGTGTGGTGAGATGTGTTCTGCACTGGGCATGCATACTCAGCAGCAGAGTAGCGTAGTGCAAGTGCAGATGTCTGGTTATGATCCCCAGGTTGTGCCAGTCAGCTTTCGTATGATATTGTTTCTAGCACCCACTTTTTGCTTGATGTTCAGGCAGTGCTTCTTGTAGGTAAGAACACGGTCCAGAGTGACTCCCAGGTATGTGGGTGTGCTGCAATGCTCCAGTGGGATTCCTTCCCAGGTCATCCTCAGAGCTCGGAATGCTTGTCTGTTCTTAAGGTGAAAGGCACCTTAAGAACAGACTTGGGAACCACTCTGAGTCCCCTCGGGGAGATGGAGCGGTATATAAATAAAGTTTTTATTATTATTATTATTATTATTATTATTATTATTATTACCCCTTAGTCCACCCCCTGTGCAACCCACCACCTTGGCTCTTCCAACTAGCATTCTATGAGGTGTTGCTGCTTCTTTACTTCCCACTCCGCATCCTTTTAAAAGACCCTCTCTAAACGCCCGCAGGTCCGGTCCCTTCGAGGTGAGCGCCGACCTGGAGGACTCCATGGAGTTTGTGGACCCCAGCGGAGCCGGCGAGACAGACGAGAGCGGCGACGAGCACGTCAGCGATGAGGAGACGGACCTGGGGACGGACTGGGAGAACCTTCCCAGCCCGCGCTTCTGCGACATCCCTTCCCAGACGGCGGAGATGCTGCAGAGCCAGGGCACCCAAGCCTCCCAGCCCAATGCCGCCAGCAGCAGTGCCGGGGGCATGATTTCCTCCGCGGCAGCCTCTGTGACCTCCTGGTTCAAAGCGTACACCGGACACCGCTAAGGAACGGCCGTATCTCCGCCGGGGAGGAGGACAACAACCCTCCTTGTCGACCCACCATCACTGTTAGTAGACCTTACCTATTCAGTTAAGTAGTGCCTCAAACAACACAAAGGTCAGACTGCTGGCTGCCTACTCCTACATCTCCCAAGCTTGACGATTCCTCCAGACCTACGTCAGAAACGGGATGTCCGAGTCCCGTCCATTTTGCCAAGGACGGAAGGAGAAGAGTCCTGTCTGTCCATTCTTGTTTTGTTTCTTTATGTTTTCCCCACTGAAAAAAAAGGGAGGCCAACTTTGGGGCGTGTGACCTGTCCCTCACTTTTGAGGCATTGAGAGGAACCCATGAGGCAGATTGACTTGACGGCCAGGCCGAGGCAACTATCCCGTCCATCTTCTGTGGGGATCTTGGGTTTTCTTCCTTTTTTAAACAGGTGCGTGTGTAAGGTTGTGTGTCTCGCAATGGACAGGAGCAGTTTCACAGCACAAATGCACATTTCAAGACCCTTCTCGAAAGTTGTACGAATGACGGCCTTTTTTAAATGGTTTCTTATCTCCTTGACCGCTACTTTAATACAGCAAAACGTCACCAGAACCAATCGCTATTTTTTTGTTGGTAAGATTATGCCTGTTTGTGTGTATGCCGTGTTCATCCGGTGGGAGGCTTGTCTGAATGTTTCTGCCGTGGAGATCCCCACTGTCTGCAAAGCCACCACATACCAAAGAGCAGCCAATAGAAAGATCTCCTACTCCTGTCATTGTTCCTTCACAAAAACACACACACACACACACACACTCATGTGGCAAGTCACAACGTGGCTTTTGGAGCAACCTGTTGATTTCTACAAGCGAGGTGTTTACAGTTGTTTCAAAAGAGGGGAGAAGTGTGTGTCCCCAGGTGGCACCGATAGAGAGGACTCAGAACTGGGCGAAGTTTCATTGTTCTCAGTCCACAGGAAGTGAGTCAGGGGACATCTTTAATGAACACCCCTCATAGCTCTGTCCAAACTTTGACTCATATTTTAGACCCAAATAAAGTAAGACTAGCAGTGGATTCAAATTGCAGGTAAAGAGATGCCACTTAATTATTAGGAAGAATTCATCAACAGTGGAATGGGCTGCCTGGGAGGTTGTTAAGCAGAAGCTGAATGGCTATCTGCCAGGAGGGCTTGGATTGGGTGTTCCTATTTGGCAGAGGGAGATTGGACTGGATGGCCTTTGGGGTTTCTTCCCACTCTTCTGGTTGTATGGGCAGGGAGCTGGTTATGTGATGGAGCCTGGCATACCTCCTCTTCTCCACTCATGATGTGGGAAGAGCACACCAATGTCTGTGTGCAGGGCAGCCAGATTCTCTGCATTTCCCAAACAAAGAAGAATCCCCAGCTCAGTTTGGCACAAGAGTCAAGACCCTACACGTGTGAAAAAACAACATCCGCATCCAGTGACACCAGTGCAGTGACTGCTCTGCTTCAGAGAGCCGTGTTGTTCATTCATTCAGTCGTCTCCAACTCTTCGTGGCCTCATGGACCAGCCCACGCCAGAGCTCCCTGTCGGCCGTCACCACCCCCAGCTCCTTCAAGGTCAGTCCAGTCACTTCAAGGATGCCATCCATCCATCTTGCCCTTGGTCAGCCCCTCTTCCTTTTACCTTCCACTTTCCCCAGTATAATTGTCTTCTCTAGGCTTTGCTGTCTCCTCATGATGTGGCCAAAGTACTCAGAGGGCCGTAGGGAGAGGCAAGTGACAGGCAAGGAGATTCCACATGAACACTAGGAATAATTCCTGACTAGGTGTTCAGCAGTGGAACTCTCTGCCTCCTTTGGAGAAGCTCTTTGGCGGCTGGATAGTCATCTGTTGGGGGTACTTTGATTGTACTTTTGCAGGGGTTGGACTGGATGGCCCTTGGGGTTCCTTCCAAGTCTATGATTCTATGTGAGTTCCCATTTCCGTGTCATGCACCCTTTCCTTTTCCCTGGTGGCCTCAAAACATTGATGCCCACCTATCAGTGCCAGTCTGAAAATAAGGAGAGGCATTGCCATATATGTGTGTTCCCATTTCTGTATTATGCATTTGTCCTTTTACCCAGACATGGGCAAACTTGGGCCCTCCCAGTGTTTTGGACTTCAACTCCCACAATTCCTAACGGCTGTTAGGAATTGTGGGAGTTGGAGTCCAAAACACTGGGAGGGCCCAAGTTTGCCCATGCCTGCTTTACACCCTTGGCCTCAAACTTCTGAAGCCTACTTACCAGTGACAGTCTTAAAGACCCCTTCTTCCTTGCCTACTCTTTGCCTAAGCTCTGTCTAGATATCTGATGGGACATGTAGTGCAGATACACGGAGAAGCCATTCTTGATATCTACATACTCCAAAAGGAAGGGAAAAGAGGGCTTTTGGGGGTCCTCAGAACTTCCCAGCCAGCTTCTTGTGATTGCAACCCAAAAACTATATGCAGAGTTATGCTATGTTGGCACTACACAATTCCCATTCAGTTCATAGAATCAAAGAATTGGAGGAGACCTCATGGGCCATCCAGTCCAACCCCCTGCCAAGAAGCAGGAATATTGCATTCAAATCACCCCTGACAGATGGCCATCCAGCCTCTGTTTAAAAGCTTCCAAAGAAGGAGCCTCTGTTGCGGATCAGAGCTGCTTGAAGGGTTAACCCAGTGCCCTTGTCTGTGTAAATATTTCTGTGTGTTCCCCTTTCCTCCCACTTCTGTTTATGATATAACTCTCATAACACAATAATGAGAAAACCAATTTCCAAGGTTTTAATTTCCGCTCAGCCACCTTCCCTCTCTACCTGCCATGGTTTCCTCTTTGAAATGAAGCCACGCTTCTGCGGGTACGTGCCATTGATCCATATCAGGCCAAACTTCCTTCAGAGGCTGGCACTACATCTTTCACAGAAGGAAAGGAAAATGCCTTTTCTAAGGGCTTGCTTCTTGAATAAAGGTTTGCACACACAGGGATGGGAAGAAGACAGTTTCCAAAGGTTTGGTGCAATTGGGAAACCAACGTTGGTTTGCTTTGGAACGATCTTATTTTGGGAAGGTTCTGCAAAATTCTAGCACTTGAAACCCCTTGGTTGGAATCTTGGGATTTGTGGTTTGGTTGACACTTCAAAGTACCGCTTCCAAAATGGCAAAGTTTTAGGAGTCCCACAGTTCGCGTGGAATCAAAATGCGGCAATTGTGTAATGGCTCTCAGTTTGAAGCCACAAAGGGAAAATTGTGCATCTATTGGGAACCATGGCCCTATGATGCCCAAAGTGGAGTGTTTTCAGGTAGGTTGTGCCCTTTAGAAATGAGCCCCATGAAAAAATAATTTAAGGCTGCAGATCTTTCCTTTTTCTGGCCTTGCGGTGCCACTTTTCAGAGCAGTCGGCTTCTAACAAAACACAGGGATGTTGGTGGGTTTGTTTTTTTAAAAAAACAACAAAAATAATTGTATTACTGCAATAAATCTTTAACAGGTGTTTTTTTTTTCCAAAGTTGGCTAGTTTGTTTTTCTTTTGCTTGTGTTGGTTAAATATGTCCTCAGTGTGGGAACCCTTGCATTGTCCGCAGCGTGGTGCCCTCCAGGTGATTTGGGCTGTGGGTCATATAAGCCATCTCAACAGGGCTTTTACAAGGGGCATTCATTAAAGATTTCCCCTGACCCACTTCTCTTTATCACAGGGCGCTGCAACTGCACATGTGTAATGATATAAGTCTCTCAAGGTTACGTGCCAATTTACAGCTCAGAACTGAGAATGGTCTTGATGTGACAGGTGCTGGAGTGCTGTGAGGTTTGAGAATGGACCCAGCGGAATACAGAGCAGTCCTCAAGTTCCTTTCCTTGAAAGGAACCAAAGGAGACGTTTGAGGAGACAAAAGAGGTTTCTGGGGATGATTCGCCATCATATAATGGAGAAAAGAACTGGCATCATAAATTCAAATGTGTATCGTCGAAGGCTTTCATGGTTGGAATCACTGGGTTGTTGTAGGTTTTTCAGGCTATATGGCCATGTTCTAGAAGCATTCCCTCCTGACATTTCGCCTGCAGGCATCCTCAGAGGTTGTGAGGTCACAACCTCACAAACTTCACAACCTCTGAAGATGCTTGCCATACGTGCAGGCAAAACGTCAGTAAAGAATGCTTCTAGAACATGGCCATATAGCCCAAAAAACCTACAACTCAATTCAAATGTGGTCATACTTCGGTGCAAACAGCTCCAATTCCAGGGCGACCCCACCCTGCTATTGATGAACACACCATCCAGCAAGTGGAAGTCACTATTTTGGAAAATCGCCACATAACCATTCGCCATGTAGCCCAAAATGTCTAGGGTGTGGGGTCCATGGGAAAAAAATCACCCAAGACCATCTTCACATGCACAAGATATTCGCTCACTGGGTCCCCCGGCTGCTCACACCTTTCCAGAATCAGGAACAAGTCAAATGCTCTCAGGCTCTCTTGACAATGATATACCAAACCAGGACTTTTTCAACAGACTGATCACACAGGGTGGAAGCTGGGTCAATCACTCTGATCCTGAGACTAAAGTCCATTCAATGCAATGGAAGCATCATGACTCACTGCCCCCAAAGAAGGCACGGGCCCAACTCTTGGTAGGTTAGGTCATGCATGTCATAGTATAGGATTCCTAGCAAAGAGTACCATGATCACTGGGGCAGATTAGGCTTCACTGCTGCAGAAATTGCAGGAGGCCATCCAAACCAAGAGACAATGTGGCATGTTCACCAAAGGTGTCCGCCTTCTGCAAGACAATGCACCAGTTCACAACTCACCTGTTCCCCAAATGGAAGAAGCATGCTCCGGTGGCTTTGAAATCTGACTGCATCCCCCAATTCACCTGACCTCGCACCATCAGGCTTCTTCCTCTTCCCAATAATGAAGTTATTTTTGAAGGGCAATAATTTTTCAGGTAACGAGACTCTAATTTCCGAAGTCACAACGTGGCTTTTGGAGCAATCTGTCAATTTCTATAAGCAAGTGTTTACAGTTGGTTAAAAAGATGGGAGAAGTGTGTGTCCCGAGGTGGCACCGATGGAGAGAAGGACTCATAATTGTGCCAAGTTTAATTGTTCTCAGTCCACAGAAAGTGGGTCAGGGGAAATCTTTAATGAACGCCCCTCGTAAGAGAAGGTATCATGGGAGATGTGGTACCAAATGGGCAATTGTTTCTAGCTTAATTAAGCTGTGTGTAGTGTGTTCCAATCTTGTGTTCATCCCAAAGAGGACGTTGCTTTCCCAAGGTTAACAGAAGCTTCAAAATGTCACATTGAAAATTGAAAAAGCAATTGATCCTTTGATGGCCCAAAGGATTATTTGGTCTTTCAAAGATCTAGTTTCTCTTTAGGATGACAATATTGCACTCATTCTTTTTAGTTGAAGTTTAGTCAACTGGTATCACCATGTCAACAGCGAAATCTCCAGATCTCCAAAACAACGAGGGATCGCCTAAGTAAGTAAGTAAGTGATTGGGAAGCCGAGATTCTGCATTTGGTGGCTGAGAGCCTCCATCAAGGAGACTGGCTGTAACTTGACTCGACACCTCACCTGCACTGTGTCATCTATGCCATCGTAGAAACTGCAACATGGCAAAACCAAGGTGCAGCGATATGCAATACTGCTATTGCTTCTGTAAGCACGGAATGAATATAGCTGTCGACTATCAGCCAAAAATGTCTACCTGCTTATGTAAGGGAACTTAAGCATGCCAGAGAGCAAATCCGTATCACCTGGGGGACATCCAGAAGTTTTGGAGAATAAAGGAACCTTTCTCAACTTGAAATAGAAATAACTAGAGGCAGATATAGAGTCCTTATTCCTGCAAACAAATCCCTTCCCGGAGCATTTTCTCAAAAGCACTGTGTTCTAAATCGAAGTAACAGATGCTCCTCTGCATTGCTATTTTACTTTCAAACACCAAAACTTGGACTTTTACTATTTTAAAATACCCTATTTTATTGAAAGCAAAGAAGCATCGACACTTGTATAGAAACAATCATATACAAGTCTTGGTTTTCATAGCTTTCCTAGATCTTTGTATCTCAAATTGAGAACAATCATGGACAGAGGGATCTCTGCTGTTTTGTTTTTCATAGGTTTCCTAAATCTTTGTATCTCAAGTTGTTTTGCTTCCTGACTGCACGGAGAGCCATTGTCCTCCCAACCCTGCTATACGTCTGCGAAATGTGGACTGTCTACAGACGTCACATGCAACTCCTGGAACGATTTCATCAGCGCTGCCTTGGAAAAATCCTGCAATTTTCTTGGAAGACAGGCGGATAACTGTCAGCGTGCTGGAAGAAGCAAAGACCACCAGCATTGAAGCAATGCTTCTCCAACTCCACTGAACCGGCAACGTTGTCCGGATGCCTCATCACCGCCTCATAAAGCCGTTAATCTACTCCAAACTCAAGAACAGAAAACAGAATGTTGGTAGACAGGAAAAGAGATTGAAAGATGGGCTTAAAGCCAACCTCAAAAACTGTGGTATAGACACTGACAACTGGGAAGCCCTGGTACTTGAGCACTCTAACTGGATGTCAGCTGTGACCAGCAGTGCTGCAGAATTGGAAGAGGCACGAGTGCAGGGTGAAAGGGAGAAATGTGCCAAGAAGGCACGTCAAGCCAACTCTGGCCGGGGACCACCTTCCGTCTGGAAAAAGATGCCCTCATTGCAGGAGAACATGCAGATCAAGAATAGGGCTCCATAGCTACCTACAGACCCACCACCAAGACATCACATCTGAAAGTCCATCATCCTTGAGCTACGAAGGATTGCCTAAGTAAGTAAAGCATGGAGAGATCACTTTCCCCTTCTTTCCAAAAGTCTTTAATGAGCTTTATTATCTTTAGTGAGGCCACGGTGGCAGAGCAGGTTAAACCGCTAAGCTGCTGAACTTGCTGACTGGAAGATCAGCAGTTCGAATTCACAGAAAGGGATGAGCTCCTGTTGTTAGCCCTAGCTTCTGCCAACCCAGCAGTTCAAAAACATGCAAATGTGAGATCAATAGGTATCATTTTGGCTACATGACTCCCATGTTTTTGACCAATTCAGTATATAACAAAATTTCAGAAAAAAATTCTTTTCCTGTTTTGAAAGTGCTATTTCTTGCTTTATTGTGCAGTACTTACTTTGAAAGTAATCGTCATGCCGCAACAAACTATTGCTGAATTGGCGGAGACTTAATGAGATATTCCTCAGGGGAGCGTGCTTGGTCCATCAATGTTTAATTTACACAAATGATCAGTCACTGCCAGAACGGACAGAGAGTTTCATGTATGCTGACGATCATGCCATCACCGCTCAAGCAGAGAGCTTTGAGATGGTTGAACAGAAGCTCTCAGAAGCTTTAGGTGCTCTTACTGCCTATTACAGGGGAAAGCAGCTAATTCCTGATCCATCTAAAATGCAGACATGTGCTTTTCATCTTAAGAACAGACAAGCATCTTGAGCTCTGAGAATGACCTGGGAAGGAATTCCACTGGAGCATTGCAGCACACACAAATACTCTGGACCGTGCTCTGATCTACAAAAAGCACTGCTTGAATATCAAGCCAAAAGTGGGTGCTAAAAATAATATCATACGAAAGCTGACTGGCACAACCTGGGGATCACAACCAGACACAGTGAAGACATCTGCCCTTGCGCTTTGCTGCTCTGCTGTTGAATACGCATGCCAAGTGTGGAAAACATCTCACATTAAAACAGTGGATATGGCTCTTAATGAGACATGCCGCATTATCACAGGATGTCTACGTCCTACACCACTGTATTGCACCACCTGAAATCCATTGGGAAGTAGCAGCTTGTAATAAAAGGACAAAGGCAGTGACATCTCCGGCCCATCCTCTGTTCGGATATCAGCCAGCACCTCAAAGCCTTAAATCAAGAAACAGCTTCCTATTTATTTATTTATTTATCGTATCAGAAGTGAACCAAGGGTACAGTTGTAATGTATTTAAAAAACACAAAGTTTAAAAACTTGGCATTCTATTAAATGTCCCTTGACTAGTAGCTGGCCACTTGGAGTGCCTCTGGTGTTGCTACAAGAAGGTCCTCCATTGTGCATGTGGCAGGGCTCAGGTTGCATTGCAGTAAGTGGTCTGTGGTTTGCTCGTCTCCACATCTGCATGTCATGGACTCTGCTTGGTGGCCTCATCTCTCAAGGTTGGTTCTGCATCTTCAGGTGCCAGAACATAGCCTGCTCAGCACCTTCCAAGTCTCCACAGTTTACTGTATGCCCAGGAAGGAGCTTCCTAAGATCTACAGAGATACTCGCAAGAACACCTCGGAAAGCGAGAGTCCAAAAGTGGTAGGCTAAAATCCGGAACCTCAATCAGTGGCCGGACGAGAAACTCACAGAAGACTGGAAGGTGCTGAACAGACTATGCTCTGGGACCATGAGATGCAGAGCCAACCTTCAGAAATGGGGCTTCAAGGTGGAATCTGAGACATACAAGTGTGGAGACGAGCAAATCAAAGATCAATTACTACAATGAGGTCTGAGTCCTGCTAGAAGCACAATGCAGGACCTTCTCACAGTGACACCAGAAACACTCCAAGTGGCCAGCTTCTGGTCAAAGGACATTTAGTATAACGCCAAGTTTTAAACTTTGTTTGTGGTTTTTTAAATACATCATAACTGGATTCTCAATTTGCTTCTGACGCAATAAATAAATAAATAAGATAGTAATTGAAAAACTATCAAAAATGTGGTGCAGGATGTCCCTCAAGAACCAAGTTTTACCATGTTTACATGATAGCACCAATCATGAAAAGACAAAGATCGTGTTGCATAGTGTTATTGGTAATCTTTATAAGCTCACCTATAAAACACAATGCTCACTCTATGGCAAGGGTCCTCAAATTTGCAGCCCTCCAAGGTCATTTACCTGGCCCTCGCTCAGGGTCAACCTAAGTCTGAAATGACTTGGAAGCATACAACAACAACAATCCTATCTCATCAGCCAAAAGCTGGCCCACACTTCCCATTGAAATTCTCATAAGTATGTATTTGTTAAAATTGTTCTTCATTTAATTATTGTATTGTTTTTAAGTGGAGTTTTTTTTTTTGCACTACAAATAAGATATGTGCAGTGTGCATAGAAATTCATTCATTTTTTTTTCAAATTATAATCCGGCCCTCCAACAGTTTGAGGGACTGTGACCTGCCCCTCTGTTTAAAAAGTTTGAGGAACCCTGCTCTATGGTAATCTGGGAAATTGAGAATACTCCTTTTTCGGGACGACCACTCCCAAAATTGAGGTGAGCTGCAGTTCTGAGCATTGCCGTCCAAGAAAGGAACCTCTTCCAATCCTGAAGCTCTGCACCTTGCTCCAAATCAGGCGGAAGAGATTATGAGTCACTTTCATACATCCTGGGCATCTGCAATACAGTAGAGTCTCACTTATCCAACATAAATGGGCCGGCAGAATGTTGGATAAGCGAAAATACTGGATAATAAGGAGGGGCTAAGGAAAACTTGGTCAACAAACAAATTATGTTATAATTTTCTAATTTAAGCACCAAAACTTCATGTTTTACAACAAATAGACAGGCAAAGCAGTTCAATACACAGTTACGTTATGTTGTAATTGTTGTATTTGCGAATTTAGCACCAAAACATAGCCTGTTTGTGCTGAAAAATGCGGTATAGAAATAAAGCAAACAAATAAATAAACAAACAAACAAACAAACAAATAAATAAATAAAAGATGTGGCTCCGGGAGGGAGGCAGAGTGGTTGGATAATACAACGTTGGATGAGCGAAGGTTGGATAAGCGAGACTCTACTGTACTTGGCAAAAAGGAAGTGGAGTAGAGGGAGGGGAATGATTTAAGGAAAGGCAGACTGAGAATGCACATTTTATTTAAGTAAAAAAACAAAATAAACAGAAAACCAGGCAAGGTGGGCACAGTAGACCAGAGCTCTTCTTAAAACTCTTTCCCTACACAATATTCCTCTTTTGATCAGTTCCCACCCTATGATATCACAAATATTTGTTCTAAGTCTAGTTTTAAGTTGTCCAGTTAAACCATCTTTTTTTCCGAAGATTTGTTCTTTTTTTCATCTATTTAGAGTTTCCTTTCAGAAACAATTTTTAATATATATATTTTATATATATATATTTTATATATATTTATATATACGTATGTATACTTTATACAGGATATACACAGACTGAGAACGAGACACTTTAAAAGACGGGACTTGTAGCCGCAACACTCTCCAATACCTGCGTTGTAGCAAAATTAATGCTTGTTCGACACTCTCGGGGACAAAAAAAAGAGATTTGAGAGCTTTTATTTCTGTACAGAGATGGCCTTAACACACGACGTGTCCTCTAAAAAGGTCAAAAGGCTTTTGTGATTCAAAAAATATGTGCAGTTTCGTAGCCCTGTGGAAAGGGAAAAAAAAGGAAACAACCACCCACAAACTATTTACAGTGTAAACATCACACAAGGCGTGGAGTCCTCCTCCTCCTCGTCCTACCACCAAAGCTCGTGGCTCTCGCAAGGATGCCCTAACAGTCCTCCTCCGACTCCCTGGATTTCTTGTGAAGCGTGCGGTTAAAGCTGTGGCAGGCGGGGACCCAGTGATTGTCGTGGAGACCCAACTTGCACCCGGGGACACTCTTCTGGGACCGGTGGCAGCACATCCAGTACCCGGGGCCGTAGGGGAGCGCTTGGCAATAGGGTTTGGGGTGCCACCGGCAGAGAGAGACGTCCCCCCGAGAGTACGTCTTCTTGCACTGCTTGCAGGGGTCTTCCCTGTAGCGGGGGTCTCGGACCCAGCGGGAATCCGCCGGCCGGATGTTGTAGTACTCGATGATGAACTTGAAGTAGACGCAAGTGCATTTGAGGGCCACCAGGCTCCGGGTGGGCAGCAAGGCAAAGATCTTGACGATGATGTGGTGGGGCAGGAAAACCAGGTACTGCTGGGGCTCCAGAAGCTGCTGGATCTTGAAGCGGGTCTCCAAGAAGTCGTGCGACCGCTGCCTCTTCAGAGCGGAAGAACCGAGCGTCTGCAGAGCGCTCTCCTCTGAAGGGAGTTCGGGAAATTCGCTGGAAACGCAACGAGCGGAAATGAGTTCCTGGCCTTGAGCACCATCCGCTTCACGTTCTTCCGAAGGGCGCTCTGGAGAGATTCCACACTCAGAAAGCAGCAAAAATAATCTCCCCGGCACGGCGTCTTCACCAAAGCTGGAGTCGGAAGGTTGGCTCTTCCTGCGACCTTTCTCCGTCCTAGCGACTGATATGCAAATACTCACAGATTCTGTCACACGGATGTTTGAATTCGAAACTGGCTCTTGAGATGTGCTGCTAAGAACGGTGTTCTTGCTACACAAGGAATGTGGGCACGCCTGAGCTAGGGCTGGATATGTTGGAAGGTGAGAGGGCCTGGGGATCATTGGACTATCTGAGTTTCCTTGATCAAGATGAATGTCTTTCCTCACTTCTGGGGCACCAACGGATGGAGATGGCTGGCCAGGGGGCAGACCTTCCCACCCGCTGTCTTCTGCTGAAGAGCTGTGTTGCGATTTCCATTGCTCTCCTACCCCCTCGTCGTTGTGCTCTTCCTGCCCAACAGAGGACACCTTCTCGGCACCATTTTCGGGTGCTGTTCCGCTCACCAAAAGGACCCGCCCCACGTTCCGCCGGAAGCTGTTGTTCCGGGACAGGCTCCCTGCCTCTCGCTCGCTCTGGCGCCTCAGGCACTCTGATTCAAGCTTTGCGACCATTTCCAAAACACGCACCGGCTCGGCTTGTGGCCCGCCGTCACTGCCGCCGCCACCTCCGCCATTTCCTCGGCAGGGTGCCTTTTCAGACGGCGACTCATCAGCTCCGACGGCAGAGAAAGATCCGGGGGTAGAAGGGGCAGTGGCTTTGGGCTGCCCTGGGAATCTGATCACGGCAGAGGCACTGGGGCAATTTTTGGCGCAGCCGCCCAGCAAAAGGCTGGCTCTCTGTTCCAGGAAAGCGACCATCTCGACAACCGACAGGGGCCGGCCCGGGAAGCCCCCCTCCCCGACTTCATTCACATTATGTACGGAGCAGTGCTCAATGCTGCAGGCAAATGGCTCAGGCTGGTGGCACCTCCCGCTGGCTTCTCTCATCTTTTCCAGGTGGACCTTGGCCCTTTTGATATCGAGGGACTTTTTCCTCCGCTTCGTCGCCCTCCTGTCGATGTCCCAGCTGCTTTTGTTCTTCATGGAGGACACCCTGTGGTCACTGCACGGCTGGGCGGCAAAGAAGGCAATCTTCTCCTTGGTGTTCCCCGGTTTCACGACCGCCCAAATATCGAGGGGTGCTTCCCCGTCGTCGCCCTGGTGAATGGTGGCAGGCTGGGCGGCTCTCCTCTCCTTGACGCTGGGTCCCTCCGCATGGCTTTGGCTGTTGTTCCTGACGCAGAGGATGTTGGGGGAGATGCCACGCAGGGGCTTTCGGAGAGAAGGACTGGGGAAAAGGCTCGGCGAAGCGCTGGCAGGCTCCTCTTCACTGGCCCCCCTTTGCTGGCTCATGGGTGGGTTTCGTGGGGAGTCCAGGCTTAAGTCAAGAGACCGCTCCTTCTTCTGCAACTTGAGATATGGCTTTAAGTGCATGCCAGATATTCTAAGGAAAAGGGGGAGACAGAAAAATCACATGCCTGTTAAAGAAGGTTACCTAATATTGGATGTCCCCCATTGGCATGCTCACAAAGAAGCTAGTAAAATTTGGGATGGGATAGACCAGGGATTCTCAACCTTCCCAATGCCATGAGCCCTTAATACAGGTCCTCATGTTGTGGTGACCCCCAACCATAACATTATTGTCATTGCTACTTCATAACTATAATTTTACTTCTGTTACGAATCATAATGTAAATATCGGATATGCAGGATATATTTTCATTCACTGGACCAATACCAGATACACAAATACCTGATATGCGCAAATTTGAATATGGGTGGAGTTGGGGGATTGATTTGGGAGTTGTAGTTGCTGGGATTTATAGTTCACTTACAATCAAAGGGCATTCTGAACTCCACCAACGATGGAATTGAACCAAATTTGGCACACAGAACTCCCACGACGAACAGAAAATACTGGGAGGGTTTGGTGGGCATTGGCCTTGAATTTTGGAGTTCACCTGCATCCAGAGAGCACTGTGAAACAATGATGGATCTGTACCAAACTTGGCACAAATACTCAATATGCCCCAATGTGAACACTGATGGAGTTTGGGGAACATTTGGGAGTTGTAGTTGCTGGGATTTATAGTTCTCCTACAATCAAAGAGCATTCTGAACCCCACCAACTAAATAATTGGGGCAAACTTCCCACACAGAATCCCCATGACCATAAGAAAATACGGTGTTTTCTGATGGTCTTTGGCGACCCCTCTGACCCCCCTCATGGGCCCCCCAGGGATCCCGATCTCCAGGTTGAGGTTTTGAAACAGAGGCTGGATGGCCATTTGTCAGGAGTGCTTTGATTGTGCTTTCCTGCACAGCAGAATGAGGTTGGACTGGATGGCCCCTGGGGTCTCTTTCAACTTTTATGATCCCATGTTTTGGAATGATGTGGATGGGCAGAGCGCCTTGGTCTACTGTACCGTTTGACTGGGTGGAATGTGGAGGATGTGGAATTCAGCAGTTCCCGGTGGAGTCCAGCTCGGCAGGAACTCTTCATCATAACTCCCTGCTCCTCCACCTGCGGCAGGCCGTCACAGCCAGTCCATCTCAGCCCTCCGCTGGGGCTCCTGCACCCACTTGTCTCGCCCCACACAGTGGCCAACCGGGTCTTTGGCACCTACAAAATGCTGCGAGCAAAAGAATAAAAATGAGAGATGTAGTTAGGTCGCGTCAGGAATGTAGGAAACCACAGTCTACTAAGTCAGACATGAGCAAACTTTGACCCTCCAGGTGTTTTGGACTTTAACTCCTACCATTCCTAACAGCCGGTAGGCTGTTAGGAATTGTGGGAGTTGAAGTCCAAAACACCTGGAGGGTCAAAGTTTGCCCATGTCTGTACTAAGTCAAACCACTAACCTATTGAATTACAATTTGAGTGTGTCTTATGCAAAATGCTTGGGATCAGAAATGTTTTGGATTTCAGGTATTTCTGAGTTTTGGAATACCTCTATTTCCAGATATGTACTGAATGCGGTATCTTGGAAATGGGATCCAAGTCTAAATACAACATTAATTTATTTTTCATATGCACTTTATGGGAGCCCCAGTGGTGCAGCGAGTTAAACTGCTGAGCTGCTAAACTTGGTTCGAATCTATGGAGCAGGGTGAGCTCCCACTGTTAGCCCCAGCTTCTGCCAACCTAGCAGTTTGAAAACATGCAAATGTGAGTAGATCATTAAGTACTGCTTCGGCGGAAAACTAATGGTGCTCCATGAAGTCATGCTGGCCATATGACCTTGGAGGTTTCTACGGACAACACTGCTAGCCATGTATAAATATGTGAGAGGAAGCCACAGGGAGGAGCAAGCTTGTTTTCTGCTTCCCTGGAGACTAGGACGCGAAACAATGGCTTCAAACTACAAGAAAGGAGATTCCATCTGAACATGAGGAAGAACTTCCTGACTGTGAGAGTCGTTCAGCAGTGGAACTCTCTGCCCCGGAGTGTGGTGGAGGCTCCTTCTTTGGAAGCTTTTAAACAGAGGCTGGATGGCCATCTGTCAGGGGTGATTTGAATGCAATATTCCTGCTTCTTGGCAGGGGGTTGGACTGGATGGCCCATAAGGTCTCTTCCAACTCTCTGATTCTATGCTCTTCAACTTAGAAATGGTGACGAGCACTACACCCCAGAGTTGGACATGATTAGACTTAAATGGCAGGGAAACCTTTACCTTATACACTTTATACACATAGTCTGAAAGTAATTTCATACAATAATTTAATAATCTTGTGCATATAAACAAAGTTTGTGTACACTGAAGTATTAGAAAACGAAGGCATCACAATCTAAGCCACCCCTGTGGATGATTTTGCAATATTTTGGATTTTGCAGAAGGAATGTTCAACCTGACTGCCCCCTCCTCACTAGACAAAGCAATTTTCCTTGCTCAACTTGGACATGTCAGTGATTTGGTTAGGACGTTCTCTACACAAACCAGACGACCTACTATGATCACCAGTGTTCAATCCCCACTCAGCCATGGAAACCTACTGACTATCTGCGAAAATTGTGCCAAGAAAATCTTGTGATAGTCCACATTACGGTTGTCGTAAGTCAGAAATGACTTGAAGGCACACAAGAAAAGCACAATAATTTGTCTTATGTCACTGAAGACCAGTAATCTACCAAGCTCTGGATGAAAAGTTCATATATAGCACTTATTGGACTCTGCTAGAAGTACCAAAGATGCCTGCTTAAACTTGGAAAATCCTCAAGTTTCGGCAATCTAAATACAAATACCTGCAAATGTTTCTCAATCAGAGTTTTCATGCCACAAGGGTTTGGTCAGCGAGTATCATGCCCACACGAGCATTCTCTCCAGAATTGTGCACTCAAAAGAGATGCAAAAGGCACCCTTAAAATCCTATTTCCCACTTCCTCCTACACTTCAGGTCTTCAACCTGGTGATGGTATGAATCCCACCAGAGACACTACTTGCAGCATGAGGTCCAAAACCTCCAGTTGCACCAATTAGAATGGGCAGAAGACTAAAAACCTGGGAGCAAACTGAAACAGCAACCCGATGAGAGCAAAACAAGACCAAGAGACACCATTTGCACTTGGAGTAAATATACAATATGACTCTCTGAGATTAAGACAGCAATTTTATAAAATATCTACTTATGTTTTGTCCATCCAACTAAAATGAACTATTTTATTTGGCACAATACATTATCTTCTCATTTTTTTTTTGTTTCATATTTGTGATTGATCACCATCCACACTCACGTTTATGCCAATGGTCAACATTTGCGGTAAAATGGCCAGCTAGTAGTCAAATGACATTTAACAGAATACCAAGTTTTAAAACTTTGTGTTTTTTAAATACATTACAACCATACCCTTGGTTCGCTCCTGATACAATAAATAAATAAATCTAGAACTTTTGTGCTTTGAAACTAATTTATCTAAGTTACTGAAACTATTGAAACATTTCTGCCAACAAAAGCTTGAAAATATAAATTGAGACAATTTTGGTAATTACTGTAAGTTTTTATTATGTAAATCCATTCAGATTTTTAAAATAATTGTAAAAGCTGCCTCCAACGGTGCATTTAGGAAGGCGCTCCAGGTCTTGCTGCACTACGACAATTTCACTGCGATGCTTTTCTCCTGGCACCAAGTTTTGCACAATTCTGCACATTTTCCAAGTTCTTTCCAGGAAAATGGCCAAACTGGGAGGGAAAGGAGCAACTTTCCAAGGAGAAAGAAAATATGGACCCCAGCCCACTTTAGTGCATCAATATAACAGCTTTTGTCTCATCAGGGGGTAAAAAATAAGCAAAGGTGGCATTCCAGAACAACAAATAGGCAATGTTTCTGCAAACCAGGTTGAACGTTATGACTAAAATAATAAACACAATAAAATACAAACAAGTGGACTTGCACAGACATACACAGAGAGAGGCTTAAGAAATTAGTTTCCAGAAAAACACTGCACAGTGATAACAGATATCACACAGGCCATGATAGTAGTATCTGAGAACAACAACACATGGGGTTCCTCTACATAGAGGCAGTGCTGAGATCCTGCCACCGAAAAGCAACAGACAATACCACATCTGTTCCACAGAGATAAAGCATATGAATTCATTGCTTATCTTCCACCCGCCGGCAAAACACAGGGGCATTTTCCATGCAGCTGGTTAATGTTCAGTAGCACGAAGCTTGCCAGTGGTGCTATTTCACAGATATGGGCTATCTTGGCACCTGTTTTGTGGTTTCTGCCTGCATCGCCATGTTAAGGTCAGAGCTCCACCAATGTGATCCCTGTCAGACTGCATTACTCATAAGTCCTAGCACATAGGCCAAGGGCTAGAGCATGATGGGAGATGTACCTCAATAGTATCTGAACTTGAGGGTTTCTAGTCCTGCTTTGCACAACCTCATGCTTACAGAAAACTTCCAGAATCGCACAACTTATCTGACCACTAAGTGGCTCACTATCAAAGCTACAGCACAGCCTGTGGGTCAGTCTTGCTCAATTTTCCATGCAGAACAGGCAAGGCAACTGCAAAGACATAAGATGGCTTACCAACAATACACATGAAAGAGATCTAGGAGTCTTAGTAGGCCACATGAGTAAACAGTGTGATGCAGCAACTAAAAACACCAATGCAATTCTAGGCTGCATCAACAGGAGTCTAGTGTCGAGATGGAGGGAAGCCATGGTCCCACCCTCTTCTGCTTTGGCCAGAGATCACCTGGAATAATCCTGGGCACCAATATCCAAGAAGGACATGGATGAGCTTGAATATTTCTAAAGGATGGCAATTAAAATGGGAAAAGGTCTGGAAACCATGAATTGCTTGGAGGATCAGCTTAGGAAAGCTTGGGATGTTTAGCTTGGAGAAAGGAAGAGAGACATGAGAGCCATGTTTACATATGTGAAAGGAGGTCACACTGAGGAGAGGGTAAGCTTGTTTTCTGCTGCTCCGGAGCAATGGATTCAAATAGCAGGAAAAAGAGAGATTCCACCTAAACATTAAAGGAACTTATAAAAAAAGAGAGATTCCACCTAGACATTAAAACCCTATACGGCTCTGGTCCAGCGTACCTGTCCGAACGTATCCCCTTCTACGTCCCACCTTGGAGCTTAAGATCTTCTGGGGAGGCCATGCTCTTGGCCCCGCCTTTGTCTCAAACACGTTTGGCGGGGACGAGGGACAGGGCCTTTTCGGTGGTAGCCCCCTGCTGTGGAATTCGCTTCCCGGGGAAATTAGGTCATTGTCATCTCTCCTCACCTTTAGAAAGAAGGTAAAAACGTGGTTGTGGGACCAGGCCTTCGGGCGATCAGGTTAAAGGATGGGTAGCCATCTGCCTGGAGGGCTTGGATGGTGTATTCCTATAAGATAAGATAGGGCTGGACTGGATGGGCCTTGAGGTCTCTTCCATCTCTATAAACCACGTCAGGTGCACCTATTTTGAATGGTAAGCCCTCCACATTTGCAGGTTTGATTTTTTGTGATTATTCATGGCTTTGATGAAAATGTTCTCTCTAAATCCTCCAATGTGATTCTATGGTCAACATTGATATGATGTTGACCACAGAATCACGCTGGTGGACCTAGAGGGTTCCACCATCTTGCAAGCTTTAGTTCTTCCTGTATGGTTCTGGCAGAAGTTGGCTGCAGAGTTTTGCTGGAGGAGGACTTAGACCAGGGGGTCTTCAAACTAAGGCCCTGGGGCCAGATGCGGCCCTTCAAGGTCCTTGATCTGGAAACTGCCCTAAACTTTAAACTTAGGGCTGCTCAAAGTCTGAAATGACTTGAAGACGCACAACAAAAATCCTAATTAACTTGACTGTCTCATGAGCCAAAAGTAGGCCCACACTTTGCATTGAAATCCGGGTATTTTTTTTTTGTTCATTCGTTTGGTTATTTCCAACTCTTTGTGACCTCATGGACCAGCCCACACCAGAGCTCCCTATCAGCCGTGGCCACCTCCAGCTCCTTCAAGGTCAAGCTAGTCACTTCAAAGATACCATCCATCCACCTTGCCCTTGGTTGGCCTCTCTTCCTTTTCCCTTCCATTTTCCCCAGCATCATTATCTTCTCCAAGCTTTCCTATCTTCTCATTATGTGGTCACTACAGTTCAAAAGCATCTATCTTCCTTCGCTCAGCCTTCCT